ATAACAAGGTGTACAGCTGGATGAACACAGCAGGCCAAGCGGCATCAAAGGAGCAGGAAGACTGACGTTTCAGGGTCTAGGCCCGAAACATCAGCCTTCCTGCTCCTCTGATGCTGCTTGGCCTGCTGTGTTCATCCAGCTCTACACCTTGTTATCTCAGATTCTCCAGCATCTGCAGTTCCTCCTATCTCTGAATGAATGTTTCAAGTCTAGTGTGACTGTTCTTGGAAGAGAGCTGATGACCTGCTGAGTTTCACCAGCACGTTTGGTTTTTATTTCACAATTCTGGCATGTGCAATTGTTTGCTCTAACTTTATAAGTTCACACTGTTGATAAATTACATTGGCAGAGAAAGGATAGGGAACCTTGGGGAAATAAGTGGCCATAACTTGACAATTCTGTATTGGGTTTGAATATAACATAGGTTGTTCTGAAACTAGGATCTTAAATCTGAACAAAGGAAACTGGTAAGCTGGCTGTAGTGGATTGGGAAAGTGCATTAAAAGATTTGACAGTAGACCGGCAGTGGCCAGTATTTTAAAGAAATAGTGACATGGTCAACGCCCAAGTGGACAGGTCAATCAATCATGGTTAATGAAAGAAGTCAAAGATTGCATTAGATCAAAGGAAGTAGCTCATAAGGATGTCAGAAACAATGGTAATCCTGATGTTTGGGAGCAGTTTAGGACCCAGCAAAGGACCACCAAGAAACCGATGAAGAAAGGGAAAAGAGTAAATGTCTACAAGCTAATGACCAACATAAAGGCAAACTGTAAATGCTTTTCAAATTTTAAAGAGAACAGATAAGCAAGTACACATGTGGACCCAATACTGGTGGGGACAGGAAAATTAATAGTGGAGAACAGGGAAAATAGCAGAGAAACTAAACGGTTTCTTTGCATCTCTTTTTGTGAAAGAAGATACTTAAAAACTGGAAATATTAGGCATCCAAGGGACATAGGACTGGGTCATTAGTAAAAATTAGTATTAGAGAACGGAAAAATTAGCTGGATTGAGGTTTGATATCTGCAGACTAGATGCGCTCAATCCTAGAATGTTGAAGGAAGTCGCAATTGAGAGTGGATGCATAGATGGTATCCTTCATAATTGTATAAATTCTGAGATTCCTGCTGATTGAAAAGTAACAAATGTAATCTTGCTATTTGAGGCAGAGTGGAGAACTACAGATCTGTTTGGTTGTCTACAGTAGTGGGGTAAATGCCAGAATTAATGATAAAGTTTGTGATAAGTGGGCATTAGAAAAACTTGGCAAAATTGGTTGGAGTCAACAAGGACTTCTGAAAGGCCAATTATAATGGACAAACTAATTGGAATTTTTTGGAGATGTTACTTGTAGCACAACCAAAAGAACTGACAGATTTGGTTCATTTGGGTTTTCTGAAGGCTTTTTCAAAGTTTCCACATAGGAGTTTACTACATAAAATGAGAACACATGGAATTGTGGAAATTGATTAACAAAACAGCTGCTAAGAATAAATAGATCATCTCTGTTTGATGGAAGATGTGTGTTTCATACATACAAATTTATTTTGGATTTTAGCATTTTGAATTAATGGCATGTAGGTTTTCTGCTCTGAAGAGGCTTAATGATTATTATAATAATTCTGTAGCCCTGGTAATTTCACTTTTTTTTAAAAAATCGATCTCCATGAGAAAGTTTGGGGGAACTAATGGAAATTCATTTATGCTGGAATGAACAAACAAAGTAAACAGTTGTGTTCTGGTTTCAGTTTAAAAGGTCAAAAATTTTTTTCCTCTCGTGCTTATGGGAAATTTCCATAAGTTGGGACAAAAATTTCATTTTGGAGTAGTTTGCATGAGACTTGGCTGAAGCTGGATGTGTAACACAATTGCTACTGAGAATAGGAGTAATGAAAAGTAGCTACCTTAGCATACAGAGTGTTGTTTAAAAGTTCCAGTCCAGAAGTGTTTGGTTATAACTCTGAAAGGAATTGTTGAAGCTGAAAAGTCTGATTTCATCTGTATGAAGGCTACAGCAAGAGGCTATTAGATTGTCAAAATGGGGAATTGGAGCCACTGTTTGTTTAAGCCCTATAGATGTGAAAGAGAAGCAAATTATGTGAGAACTGTAAAAAGGTGCTTTTGGGATTAATGGGATTTGTTTTACTATGTTTCTAAGTCTTTAAACTTGTGTTATGTGTAAGTAGTTATTCTATTTTCAGTTTTTTTTTGAACAATAAACATCTGTTTTTATTGTTAGAACTGAATGAATCATAAAATGCACAAAGCTGAGCAAAGAAAGACCATCTCAGTAAAACAAAAATAACATAAATATGAACTGTTAAATCAGTGCAAAGTCCATAACTGCTTACTATCTATATAAATAGTTTCAATCTGTTGGCCAGTTGTAATTCTAAATTTGCTGATGACAAAACTGAGTGGAAATTTGTGTTGTGATGAGAATGCTTCATGAGGACTCAGGCTGTGAATGGGCTAGAGCACAGCAGATGGTATAAGTATGGTGTTTTACACTTTGATAGAAAAGAAGTGAGAAGTTTTATTTACGTGAGAGGTTGGGAAGTGCTGGTGTCTAAAGGGAGGTGGGTGTCCTTATTCCATGAGTCACTTAAAAGCTAGCATGCAGATGTAGAAAGGAATCCAGTATGTTGACATTCATTTCAAGTCGATTTGAGTACTATAAAGTTGTCTTTCTGTTTGTATAAAGCCTTGATGTGGTTGCACCTAGAGTACTGTGAACAATATTGCTCTTTCCTTTATAATATAAGGAAGGGTATACTTTTCCATTTAAAGGTCTCCTGTCGCGCTGTGGTAATTTCTCTATCTCTGATTTGGGAGATCTGGGTTTGTGACCCACCCGTTTCAGAGGTCTGTCATAACAAATCTGAGCAGGTTGATTAGAAAATATTTATACTTTCCATTTGAGGGAGTTCAGAAAAGTTTTGTCAGATTGTTCTAGGATGGTAGGATTGTCTTAAGGGATTGAAGAAACTGGGTCTGGTTCCATGGAGTCTTGAAGAATAAGGGGTGATCTAATTGACACTTATGGAGTATAACAGGGTGGTGTTGTTAAGTTGTTTCACCTGGCTAGTGACTGTACAACCAGGGGACATAAGGGGTAATCCATTTTAAAAACAGAGGTGGGGAGGACTTTCTTCACTCGGTCATGTGAAGTTTTGTAATTCCCTACCCTAGAAAGCTGCGAAAGCTCAGAATATGTTCAAGACAAACATTGATAAATTTCTGGAAATATTAAGGAGTGTGGAGATAGTGTAAGAAAGTTCTGTTGAGGTAGATAATTAACTATGTTTTCATTGCATGATTAATTGATGGGCAGAATGCCCCTATTCCTGTTTCTATGTTTCAGTAACACTGAAAGTAGTTGAATGTAGGAACAAAAGTAATCCATCAAGGGTAAAATTTAAGGTTGAGGATGTTGTGAATTTGGGAGAAAAGTGCAGTATTTTGCTTTTGTACAACATTGAACACTAGTAATTAGGGAGAAATTAGATGAAAGTCAGTTATAACAGTTTCCTTTTTTTTGGTTTAAAAGTAGATTACTCACCGGTGTTTCTGAACACGTTAGCATTTGGTGCCCATCCTTAGTTGCCCTTGAAGATGATAATGAGCCATCTTCTTGAACCACTGTCATCTGTAGTGGAGATATACCCATAGTGTAATTGGGGAGTGTTCTCATATTTTGGCACCGTGACAGTGAAGAAATTAATGATAATATTCCCAAACATATGTAGTTTGGAGGAGAACTTGCAGGGGGTGAAGTTCCTGTGTATCTGCTTCCCTTTTTCTTCTAAATATTAGGGAATGTGGAATGCGTTGCCTAATGAGCCTTTGCGAGTTGTTCCACTGCATTATGTGTAAGTCAGTAGTTTCCAGTCTTTTTAAGCACGATCACTATTTGAATTTAAGTGCAACTGAGGATCTAGCCCCAAACAAAATATAGCATGAACAGTTTACTTTTAGTGCTACATAAATTTAAAACAACTTATTCATTTTGTCTTCTACTTTCCAGGACTGTGTGACACCTGTGACTGCGCATTGTTTGCTAGTGCCTTGAAGTCTGGATTGTTGTTTCAGACTGCTAGTGATACACCGTTCACTAAATAGTCGGACAGGTCCAATACCTGGCACGATTATCCTCATTTAGATGAATGCTGTCTGACAGGTTAAAATCTGATCACCATTTTCTTATTGAATAGCAGAGCAGGCTTGAAGGGCTGAATAGCACACTCCTTGTTCGTGGTTTGTATGTGGAGTCAAAGTAAGCACTTTAAATGCACGGATGATAGGAATGGGTCACTTTCTATCTGTGTCCCCGTAAATTGTTGTCCTTTTTATCTAACTTTTCAGGTCAGTATTGTTTTGCAAATTATTTATCTCCTATCTCTATATCAACTCACCTGCTTTGTAAATCAAAACACCTTATGCAATTTGGTAGTTAACCATATCTACTTGAAGGAATGGATTTGAGACAAACATGACAATTTGTTGTATCACTTCTAATTCCTGGAATCACCCGTGGAATTCCTCTGCTAACTTCTGGTTGGACCATTTTTCTCTGTCTTTGATTTTCTTCTGGTATCATCTTTTCAGTTGAAGTAAAATTGTGTGGACCACAAACCCAATGTCAGTTTGAATACATTCATGACACTAATCACATGTTATGTCTCTGTCCCTTTCCCTGCAGTTCCTAGTTCAGCTTGTACAATTTTGGCATTGTCTCCTAAGGAGCCTGAAACCAAGTGGTTGCACACATATTTCATTCTTTGATTTTAAGAAAAATTGTGATTTCAAGTGTCAGATCTGAAGATCTTTGTGAGACCATCCCTTGACTTAACTAACACTCCAAACTGATGTGAAGTGGTCTAGAGTAATAATTTAAACAAGCTATGTGAATGGCTCTTGCTCAAATCAGATTTGCAATCTGAACTTCGAGTACATGAGAAGTCCATAACTCTGCTCGGTAATGCTCTGTAGTGATTTATACAGTGGTAATTGGCAGAAAAGGGGAAATAAGGACCATTTCTTCTAAGTGCAATAAAGGCCTTGTTAGTACCAAGTGTAGCTGGTGCATCATCAGTTGTGATGGCAAGCAGTTTCTTGATTGGAATGTTTCTTCTCAAGCTTGTATCTTTTGAATTTGTTGTAGATATCCTCACTTAACATTTTGTCTTTTAAAAAGTGAAGAAAATCCTCCTTTATTTATGCCCCTAAGGAAAAAGTCACTAAACCAATCAGTTAGCCCGTCAGTCTTACGGGTTTTTAAAATCGAGCTGCAGTGAGAAGCATTCACATTTTTTTTCAGATCTTGTTGCTGAAAGACATCTTCAGAGAAAGATTTCATTTGTCTTGCTACTGTGAAGCAGCAGTTGACATGTTCTGGATCACTGTTACTACTTTTTTGTTCTTAAAATCTTTGAATAAAGTGCTGATGACCAAAATAATTACTTCTTTAATTATTTCTTTAATTTCTTGTGTTCTTCCACAAGACAGCAAATGTGAGAATGTTTCAGTGCAGGTGTTACTTTTTGGTGCTGGTTTAGAAAAAAAAGACACTAGAACCTTCAGAAGGGCCATCAGCTCATGCGAAGTGTTTTCTGCAAAGTGTTTTCTACAAAGTGTGCTTTCCAAGAGAAAATTATCCTTCGCTTTACAGTGCATCATTTTGTGCAGTGTCATTCCAAATTCTCTTTACTTATTTATATATTTTGGTGACATAAAAGGCTAATGCTGTTATCTGTTGTGAAAAGAAACTCCTTTTCAATGTAGAAGTTATGTTTTTGGTTTCTTTTTAGATGGTCCAGGTTCCTCTCTCATCATCATTCCTTCACCTTTTAGTTTGTGATGTCACGCTGCAAGTCGGCCTCTGAGTCCTTTGCTGCTGGAACATCCAGAACATTGCTGACTGCTTTCAAGTGTAGCTGTACAGAGGTCCTTCTGCGTTCATGATTTGTTTCCAGAGCCCTTGGTTGGCTAGTATTGCTTAAATACTGAATACGGGTGTGGTAGCATACCCTATTTTTTTTTTCCCCTTTTATCCTTCACAGACCCATTAGATAAGCAGCTGAAAGGGACAGAGAAGCAGTGCAAGCTGGGTGCTCTTGCAGAGTGTCTGCACAGGCATAATAAGCTGAGTAGCTTCCTGTATTTCTGTAACTAACATACTGACTTCACACATCGCTGCTTAAGGTTTTTTATTTGTTTCCATTGCCACCATAAAACTTACTTTTCCTGCAATGATGGTCCATCTGAATCAAACTGAAAAACAATGCAACAAACTGGCAAAGTCTGTTGAGAGCATGTACTTTTCACTATTATGCAGTTTCCAGAAAATGAAGTTAAGCATTGGTATAAAGGTTGGGTAGTGAGATTAACTGTCAGATTTGCAGGCAGTGAGAAACTGTGTAACTGACCAATCAATTATGATCGATGTGTCAAAGGCCAGATGTGTAAACGGTGCACATTGCTGTCGCTGTCAGTTATGGAGGAAATCGGTGTTGAATGTGTTAGGCTGTTATTCCTGGGTGATGTTAAGCTGCTTGAGTGGTTTTGGAGCTGACGTCATTCAGGCAAGGCAGGGTATTTCACTGCACTTCTGAATTTTACCTTGCAGTGGTGAACAGACTTTGAGGAGTTAGAATGTCCCATTTGAGGTTTTTACTCACTTGTTGTAGTCACTTTTTTTTGTATATAAGGCTGGCCCTGTTCAGTTTCAGGTCAGAATTAATGCCCTGTTGTTGATAGTGAAGGATTTAGTGATGGCAATGCCATTGAATATTGTTATGACACAGAGACAGACAGTAAAGTAAATCAGCCTGCCTACTTCTACGTTTGCAATGCAGTCAAATTAAAGTTTTCAAAATCCCCGAAAATTGACCTCATGGTTTCTAACTAGACTTTTGAATAACCAATTTCATTCTCTGAGTAATCAATTCAAGGCGTTGGATTTGTAGCTTAAGAAAAAGACTTAATTTATTTAATAATACAGTAACTTTAGCCGAGCAAGTTAAACAGTAATATGTAGGACTTAAACCCAATAACCTTTATTTTCATCCCCATGTGCACAAGACAGACAGACAAAATTCTAGCATAAATAAATGCTAATAACAAAACTGGCTGGATTACTTGAGTGGTTTCCATGATGAGTTTTTCTACAAACGCATATGATTGTCTTCAAAAAAACTAACCAAGAAGTCAGATCCATCTTTTCAGTTCACTCTAAAGAAGTTTCAGCAATATTTATGACTTAGTTCCTATGGTCTTAACTTCCAATGGCTAATAAAGGGAGATTAGATAGGGAAGTTTAAAATCTTGACGATACAGCATCAACAGCCAAACTCTTCCCCTTAGAAACCGTCCATAAACCAGCTCAAACCCTCAAACCCCTCCCTCTCTTTGACCATGTTCCCTCCCAGACTTCCTGGCACCAATTCCTATGTTATGACATTGTTAACGGCCAAATATCTGCTATCTGCTTAAACATGCTGCTTTCCCCAGAGTCAAAGCATATATGGAGCTCTTTGATCAAAAATCAACTTGCAAGTTGTTTTTGGGCTTGGCCTGTCAAAGACCAGCTTGTTTGTCCCTTTCTCTTTCAACACCAGATGCTGCTCACAGCTCGCAGCTCCAAACCAGAATATTTTAAAGAATAAAATGAAAAAAGAAAAATCACTGAAAGTTGTAACAATATCGAGGAGACATGGTTAGGTTCCCTGTTGTTGGATATGGTCATTGCCTGGTGTTTGTGTGGCATGAATGAAACTTTCCTTTTATCAGCACAGCTGTGGGTATGGTCCAGGTCTTGCTGCATTTGGGCACAGACTGCTTCAGTATCTGAGGAGTTGCAAATGATGCTGAATATCATGCAGTTATTAGTGACCATCCCATCCTCACCTTTTATGATGGAGGAAGGTCATTATTAAAACTGCTGAGGATAGTTGGGCATTGTGGAAGGCAGTAATAAGGTCAGGAGCAGCGTGGCCCTAGTGGAACCACAGTTAAGTGGGTAGAATATTGTTGAGTAAGTGCCACTTAAGACCATAAAATGTAGGCGCAGTAGTAGGCCATTAAGCCCTTTGAGTCTGCTCCACTATTCGGTGAGATCATGACTGATCTGATCCTCAATTTTGCTTTACTGCCTTATCGCCGTAACCTTTGATTCTCTTGGTGATTAAATCTATCTCCTCCTTAAAGGGATGTTGAGGCTGGGTTGTTATGGTAAAGAATTTCCACAGATTCACTGTCCTTGGGAAAAATTCCTCCTTGTCTTTGTCTTAAATGATGGCCCCGTATTCTGAGATTATTCTGTTTGGCCTTCCAAAAAGAAACTATCTGTCTGCACCTAATCTTAAGTCCCCTAAAAATTTTGTATGTTTCATTTAAGGTCACCTCTGTCTTCTATATGCCAACAAGTACAGGTCCAATCTACTCCCATGCCTGTATACCTTTCCTTAGTTAAGGAGTGACCAGTATTCCAGCTGTGGTTTGACTAGTGCCTTGTACAGTTTTAGCAGAAACGCCCTACTTCTATACTTCATTCCTTTTTAAGTAGAGACCCGGTGTACCATTTGCCTTTCCTATTACCTGCTGAACTTGAATGCTAGCTTTTTAGTGACATATGGATGAGGACTCCCAAATCGTTCTGCTCTGTTTGATAACTGTCCAACATATCTTCATTACTTTGCTTTCAGAGTAGACGCTGACCAAGTTGGATTTGTTTTACTTTTGTGGACATGTCATGTACAGTCAGTTTTCAGCACTGCTGGGTAGATGCCAGTGTAACTGTACTGGAACAGCTTGACTAATGCATGGCTGGTTCTGGAACAACAGTTTTTAGTACTAGTGCCAGAATATAGTCATAGTCCATAGCATTTATAGTTTCCAGTGCCTTCACCTGTTTCTTGATTTTGTGTGGAGTCAACCACTTTGGATGATGGCTATTATGCATGATGCTGGGGATCTCAGGAGACTGAGATATCATCGAGTTGGCTGAAGATTGTTGCAAATGCTTCAGCCTTATCTTTTGTACTGATGTGCTGGGCTTTCTCATTATTGACAATAAAGACATTTTGAGGAGCTTATCCTTCAGTGAATTGTTTAATTGTCA